TTGTGAGCACTGAGTAGCTGGGTGCAGGGCCCTGTATCTGAAATGGCTCATGCACCGGCCTCAGTCGCCGTGGTGAGACGGAGATCAGGGTCACAGGCCAACGGCTCAGCTGCCCTTCCACTCCCGACCAGGCTGGCTTCTGAGGAAACCTTCCTGAAGAAGCTCTGCAGGCTGGTACGGGATGCGGCGTGGTCTGCCAGGGGCCTATGCAGGAAGGAAGGCTTTGTTCCTTGCCCTGAGATGACAGCCATCCCTTGGGGGTTGCCTGCATGTGACTGTGATGGGGTGGGGGGAGGGGCAGGAGGAGGCCAGCCCTTCAGTCCCACTCAGAGCTGAGCCATCTTCCCAGCCACAGCGTCCTGGGCTCCTGGTGGGCCCCACGTGCTTCTGGGCCCTGTTTAGTGTCTCCCCGGGCCTCCGAGGTGCTGAGCCAAGAGCAGTTCCAATCAGCCTCCTGGCTTTTGGGGACCACTCAGACCTTCAGCCAGCCAGAACCTACGCACGCTTAGGACACCTGGTGGCAGTGAGCAGAGGGCCTTTGGCCCGTGCCCTTGGAGAGAGAGCTTTGAGATCTCCAAGGAGGGCCCCAACAGTGAGACAGTGAGAAATGGTGTCAGGCAAGCACGTGGGCAGAGGCACTGCCGGCTGCAGGGCCCAGGCTGGCGTGCAGGGCTCGGGTGTCTGCACATGGGCTCAGGCTGTGTTCTAACTCCCTAACCTGGACTGTCCAGTCTCTCCTCATGTCATCCCCTTTCTTGCCCCCGCCGTGCCTCAGAACATCCCGAAGTGGAGAGGGTGAGCTCTGGCACTTCCGCATCAAAGCTTCTCTGCCTGTCTGGCCTTTGGGTGCGGGCTCCACGGGAGTCTCTCAGGAGGACGACGCACTTACTCCATCCACTTCATGCACTTACGCTGGAGGCAAGGTGCTCAGCCCTCAGGCAAGCACAGCCCAGAGTGCAGCAGAGGTGGAGGCCCCCGAAAGTCCCCACAGACAGGAATCAAGGAAAGGAGCATGACCAAAAGGAGTATGACCAACGGCCAAGCCCAGCGTCGTTCCCCGTGGTTCCTGTCCCAGCTGAGGGTTTTCCAATGGCACATCTGCCTAGGGACAGGGACAACAGAATAGATCCCTACCGTGAGCTCACAATAAAATCAATTTCAGGACCTGGCCATGCCCTGCTGGGATGCGCCTGGCCCTCCTGGGCTTACACCAACTTCTCCAGGCCGTTGAACAAAGCATCACAGCTAAACGCCTGCTGGAAAGAGGTGGGGGGGGGGGGCTGGTCTCCTGCTCTCACCCCAAGGCGGCCTGCCAGGCTCCTTCCAGTCCCCTCTCCTTTCCCTGCTTCTGTACAATCTGTCGCCCGCGGCTGTTGTTTGTTTCTCGGAAATGGCATTCGCTTTCTTCTGCGGGGCTTCGCCCGCCTTCCTGCTGCCGCCCCCACCACTAAGCGCACGGCCACACCCCAGGAGCGGCGGCTCCAGCTCCGCATTCCCCGCACTCCACGTCTGTCTGCCAGGCGTGGCTGCAGAGAAGCCAGCTCTCAGCACGCATGCCTCTGTGCCACCGGCAGCTTTCAGGGGTTCTAGAACTTTCTCTAACTCGTCCTCCCCACGCCCCCGGGACTTTCTTCCATCCAGTTTTCTTTGCTTCTGACTTCTGGAGGCCCTGTCTTCCTCTGGGCCACACCTGAATCCTCCCTATCCCAGCCACTTTGCTTTGGGGCGAGATTGGGGCCTCAGGGAGGGAACACCGGAGAGGGCAAAGTGAGGGGCTTGATGCTCCTCTACCACATCCCGACCCCAACACCCAGAAAACACTTCTCCGTAGCGCCCAGCTGACTACAAGGATGTCCCATTGGCTTGGCCCGCCTGGCCCGCCTATCCTGTGGTGGGCAGGAGGCGAGGTGTGCTCCCGGCTGGGGAGCCTCGCCCGGTTTCACAAGGCGGGGTGGGGGGTGCTGGGGGCCGGTCTCCTGCTCTCACCAGCTTGGCTGCTGGTGACTCGCCTGTTGCTGCTCAGGAAAGACTCACAGTCTCTCCCCCTGTGGGTCTCCCAACCTCTAGGATTTCTGAGCCATGGATGGTGGGTTTGCCAAAAGAGGCTGCCAAGTTGGGTCTCTGGAATGAGCCCAGCGTTCTGCACACACCAGCCTCTCCTACGCAGAGCAAGATCCCGGGCGGGGCAGCCGGGAGCACGGGTAGCGGAAGGGCGCAGAAGCAGCCATTTGGGCTTCCAGAGCACTAGGATTCCGTGGGGGGCGGGGGGGAAGCCCCTCGCTGCTCCCCACGCCCCTGGCACAGGGCACTGCTCCTGACAGCCACGAGGTGAATGGATGGGAGTGCTTTGGAAAGGGGCTCTTGAAAGCGATGTGGAGCTAGGAGACGTCCTTGCTTCTTCGGCCCCTCTGTAACGGGGGGGGGGGGGGGGGTGCCCAGCAAAATGGGAGAGAAGCTGCTCTGTCCCGGGCCACTCGCCTCCTTGAAGGGAAGAGTTTTCATCTGAAGGGGACACACCTGGCAGTGCTCAGGGCTTACTCCTGGCTCTGTGCTCAGGGGTCATTCCTGGCTGGTTTGGGGGTGGCAGGGATAGAACTGGGGTTGACTGCATGCCAGGCACAAGCCTTAACCCCTGTATTATTTCCTGTCCCACCCCTCTTCTTTATTTTGTTTGTTTTTTGGGGAAGGTCATACCCGGCGATGCACAGGGGTTATTTTACTCCTGGCTCTGCACTCAGGAATTACTCCTGCTGGTGTTCAAGGGACCATATGGGATGCTGGGAATCACACCCAGGTCAGCCATGTGCAAGGCAAATGCCCTACCCGCTACCACTCCAGCCCCCCTACCTCCCTTCTTGAGGGACCCCCTCCCATCTGTTAGCAAGTGGACTGAGTAAGGAGTCTCTGCTTCATAATTCCCGCAAGATGGGGAAAAGAGTAAAAATCATTTGTTTTCCTGTGCCCCCAGCTTGGTGCCTTGAGTTTGATGGGGATAAGAAGAGGTACGGGAGAAAAGTCTCTCCGAAGACACAGACACGCACGTGTGCATGCACACATGCGCACAGGCACACTCACACACACGGAGCAGCCTTTTCTCGCCCTCACACCCCCTCGCTCACCCGGATACAGGTTCTCAGGGGGAATGGCTGGTTCCAGAGCAAAGGTCAAGCCCGCGATCACATCCCCATCCCTGAACATGCAGCTGACGCCACCACCAGGATTTCCATCTGACAGGCTGCAGTCACAGCAAGGTGAGGAATTAGCATCGAGTTTTGAAGCTCTGTCACGAAGGCGAAAACGTTAAGACTGAAAATAATGAGTGAGACTGGGTGCCATTTAGCAGAATATCTGACATTCAAATAAATGTGCAACTGGTGAAAGTGGAGCACGGGAAGAAAGATGACACGCCTGTAGAGAGCAGGAAGACACACAATGGTGACAGTGGAGAAACACGGCCCGCCTCTGCAGGGGGCCACCGGACCTCGGCACCATGTCTGCCAGCAGCTTAGCAGAGACCTGGGACCAAACCCAGGGACCAAGCCAGGGGCAGGTGGGGGAACCCCTTCCCAGGGGGTACAGGCTGAAACACGCTAGGGTTGTAGTGCTGGAAGAACACTGCCACTTTGGGGGTGTGGATGGTGGAATCTTCCCTGCACCCCTAAAACATCCACTCTCCCCTACACCAATGTCACGTCTATAAAGGATAAAAAGGGAAGAAGGAACTCCCGTTTCACTGGGTCCCAACTCTTCTGGAGTTACTCATTCTTCTCTTTTGCGCCCTCCTCCCAAAGCACCCTCTTATCCTGGACCCCCTCTCCATCAAGCACCCAAGCGCTTCCGGGGACAGGGACGGTCAAGAGTCTTTGCTCCCCCATCTCCCCGAAGTCTGGAACACACTTGGTCACACACAAAACACCTTCCTCCCCCTGCAACTTTTCAACCATGTCAGGCCACCCACAAGCCCTTCTGGTGCTTTACAGCTACGGAAACGAGCGAGGTCAGGGGCACGTGTTTATGAATGACAGCCACACCCGCGAAGGCTTGCCACAATGGCCCTAGTGACAGGCTAAGGGGCACATGAAACGGTGAGAAAGGGAATCGCGTGAACCCCGGCTGCTCCTTCAACTGCTCCCTCGCACTTTGCCCTGTAGCTCCGGGAAACAGAAATCAAAGGCCCCTGGGCTGAGTGCTGGGACCTGAAGGAAGGTCGTGCAGCCACGCAGGACCCTGCGCCCTGCGCCAGCCCCACCTCGCCGGGGTGACGCTGCCCCCGTTCCTCCCTGGGGAAGGGCTGGGGGTGGGGGCTTGTTCTGGACTCCTGTCTCGCGCTGCCCCAGGAAGGTCTGGGCACGTGCAGAGCGCAGCAGGGTATATGCTGAGGGCGCTGGGCCTCGGGCGCGCGCACGTGGACGTGCTCCGGGTCCGGGCGGTGGGCGGCTTCTTGGGGGCTCAGTCTAGCAGACGGGGAACCGTCCTGTCCTCCCGGTAAGCGCCCAGCCCTGGCGTCCGTCACCACCGTCCCCTTGCAGGTGAGACCCGGCCCGCGTCGCGCCCCGGTGGCCAGTGTCCGCGGAGCTCCCTGGCTCGGGTCACCTGCTCCGCCGCGTCGCCGGCTCCGGCGTTTGGGAAAGTTGTTTCCAGGAGGGAAATGAGCGGTGGGGGGTGGGGGTGGGATTCGGGGGGACTGGGGGAGGACAGGGGTGCTGCAACCGTCGCGGCTGCGGCGAACTCCGGGCCGGCGCGCCCCGAGCCCGTCCCCGCCCCCGCCCAGCCCGGGCGCCCCGAGCCCGCGCGGCGCCGGAGAGTCTCCCCAAGACGCGCCTCCTAGCGCCGCGGGCAGAAGCCCCGAAGCAAACTCCCGGCGCGGAGCTCCGCGGCCCTGGTCTGGGGTAGTGGGGGACCGGGTCCCGCAGCTCCGAGAAGTGCCGGCGAAGTCCCGTCCGCGTCCCTCCCCCGGCCTCCCCGGGGTGCTGCCCCCGGCCCCGGCGCACCCCCCGTACCTGCGGCGGTCACCGGCTCGCCCTCGCTCTGCTCGCCCGAGTCCGAGTCCATGCTGCGGGCGGCTGTCCCGGCTGGGCAGCGGCAGCGCCCGGCGCCCCGCGATCGCCGCCCCGTGGGTGGGGCGCGCCGGCCGGGAGCGCGGGGGACGCAGGGGCGGCGCGCGCGGAGAGCGGCGGCGGCGGCGTCCGGCGCCCCGCGGGCTTCAGCCGGGGGTTAAGTAGCCCGGGGGCGGCGCCGCTCCTCCTCCCCGCGCCCCGAGCCCCCGGGAGCCGCGGGGCGCGGCAAGGTGGTGCGGGGCGGCCAAGCCCGGCTCCAGCCTCCGGGCGGGGCCCGAGCGCTTCTGCGCGAGTGGGCGAACCGAGAGGCGGCGAGTGGGAGTTCGGGGAGCCCTGGACCGTGGGTCCCTCTTCCCTCGGGAGTCCGGGGGAAGTGACCGTTCCCTGGGGTTCTGAAAGGTGGCGGGGGAGTCCGTCCAATAACACGCACGAGGGGCCCCCGAGCCCCTCGCGCGTCCAGCAAGGCACTGCGCGGCGCGCGGCCCGAAGCGCTCCCCCGTGCGTCTTCCCCGGCGTGGGCGGCCGGCCGGGTGCGCCTCGGGCCTGCGAGCCGGTGGCCACTGGGCGAATCCCCGCGGGCGGCGGGCGGAACTCAGCCCTGGGAGTCTGCGAGACAGGCCCCGCCACTCAGGGCCCCACCTCGTGGGGCAAGCACTCATTTTAAAACACGTGTGTGCCCACGCGCGTGCCTTTAAGGCGGAGTGCTAAACGTTGGGTAGGAGGGCGGTGTTTGTAGACGTGTTTAGTAAAATAAGATATTCAATTGGTGTGGGAGGCAATGCATAGAGCCGTAAGGCCCAGGAGATCTTCGTTGGTAATTCTTGGTTATTTATTTGGGTAGTCTCACTCTCTCTCTCTCTTTCTCTTTCTGTCTCTGTCTCTCTGTGTGTCTGTGTGTCTGTCTGTCTGTCTGTCTCTCTCTCTCTCTCTCTCTCTCTCTCTCTGTGTCTGTCTGTCTCTCTCTCTCTTTGTCACCGTCTCTTTCTTTGTCTCAGCTGTGCTCAGGTCTTAGTTCTGGTTCTGGGATCAGGGATCATTCCTGGCCAGGCTGGGGGTAGGAGTCGTTGTGGAACAGTCCCTATAGTTTTATTGTCTCCTAGAATGATCAGCTCCAAGGCACAATTCCAGGCCACCTTCTCTGCACTGTAGGTGCTTGTGATAGATGCAGTCTTCCTTGGTGGACTGGAACAAAAGGAAATCAGGAAGAGGAAGATTACTTCAAAAGCCCCCCATGTGCATTCATCTGTGCATTGAAGGATTTAATTTGAACCTGGGGGATTAAAAGTGGTTTAACGCTGGCAGTTTCATAGAATTCAAAATATACTCTGTGTGTGTGTGTGTGTGTGTGTGTGTGTGTGTTCTAGGTGTGCAGATGGAATCTCAAGGGCATCGCTGTGGGCTCTCAGGCCCCTTGAGCTGCAGACTTGGACTTTGAATATGAGGTCTAGGCTGCTTCTGACTGCGGGGGAGAAAAATGAGGTGAATTTTGCTTTTTGATTCCGTGGGTGGGGGGTGCTGCCTCCTTCGGACTCCACAGACTGCAATTACAGCTCTTCATTGGGTTCTCAGAGGCCTTTTTGGTTGGCCTAAGTCACAGACTTCAGTGGATAAAAGTTGGACACAGACTTCAGTGGAATGGCCCGAGGCGTCCTACACAAGATGTATGATTTTTGGGCAAATGCTTCACCCTCCCGATTTCCTTGTGTGCTGGCATCTCCTTCAGAGGGTGGTTCCGAGGGAATTCATGAAGTCATGAGTGTGGAAGCCATTACCCAATGCCTGGCACACAGCTAATGTCTGATAAGTGAAAACAACATTGGTTCTTAGAGTGAGTAGAACCCTTGTCAACAGCCAGACGTTTAAAATTTGCATTTTAAAATGAAAAGCATAGCGACCACGCTGAGATCAAAGTTGATACTCAAACAACATACTGGCACTGGCCTCTTTTTAAAAGCCTTCCCTCTTAGGTCTGCTGTCCTGAGGGAAAAACAGAGCAGTTCCGGTCAGAGAACAGAGCACGTTGAGCGAAGCAGAAGGCGGGCAGCTTCCTCTCTCCTGCAAGCGACAGGAAATGTAAAACTTTCTCTGTTCCCTTATAATGCTTTTCCTGGCATTTGGTGGATGGTGCCTTTGCTTGTTTTCATCTGTTTGAAGAGTCTTGGTTGAGGACCAGGGAAGCACATAGCACGAAAGTACTTGAGCATCACGGGAGTCGAGGGTACGGGGAAGCTGACTGTAAAACTTGTCAGCAGTAAACCCAGAGCCACCGCACACATTTAGGACACATCCGGACTAGTTAGCCACTGAGTCCTGTGTGCATTTCAAAGATAAAATGCTAGAGGGGCTGGGGGGTGAGGGGTGGAGGGCAGGGGTGCAGGGAGGCTGTTCATTGTGCTTCTGGAAAAGTTCATGAGAGTTGTGAGACAATCAACACCTCTTTACTCGTCTGTTCCTCTATTCAAGCACAGCACATTTCTAAAAGGAAAAAAAAAACAGGCAGAGCAGAATGAAAAACTGCTTGTGAAATGGAACAATGGAGAAGAGCGATCCAAGCAAAATAAAGTGTCCGTTCCAATTTCCTAGGATATTCAATCTGTCATAGGCTCACAAGACAGGGAAATGAGTGCTGGCACGCGTGCCTGTGAGAGGCACCCACCTTCTCAGTCCTCCCCGTGTGGAGAGATTGACATAAAAGGAGGAAATGCTTCGAATAGTGTCCTGGGACCCCACAAAATGAGAAGGGAAGTCTAAAGTGGGGAGTCTACAAACCAGTCCTACTGTCCAGACAGTCTTTCCCCAACAAAGAAAGCAAGATACCAACTCTCTGAAAAGAGGAAAGGATTTCAGTAGTTCCTCTGCATATTTTTAGAAGCATGGCATCACTTTGCAGACTTGAAATCTGGAGTCTGAGGATTATAAACCACTTTTCCACAGTGTTTCCACGACGTCGTCTTCCGTCTGGCTTGCTCCTCAGACACAGGCATTCCTAACCCCTGTTGGTCATTTCTTAGCCTCTGCTAATAATATAGGAGTTTAAAATTTTTTTTCTTTTAAAGGAATTTGCCTTTAAAAAAATCTGTTGGGGAAAAAGCATGTCTATTTTGCAGGGTGTCAAGAAATGGATAATAAAGTAGATCCATTTCTGCTAGCACCATAATACTCCTTTCATCTGAGCCGGGGAGTGACTCATCTGCGTCTCCTCCTGTGGGATGGTAGGGAGCTGTCTGCAGCCCTGGCAGGCAGCTGGGGGCGGCAGGGGTGCTTCTCTCCTGGGGAGCCCATCTAGCCCACAAACCCAGGGCGCTCTGCAGTTATGCCTTTGGGGCTGGAGGGGCCCCGGCACTTAGGCACAAGGCTGGCCAAATTGTAAAACCTGTGTGAATGTCTCAGAGTGAACCCACCATGGTTATACTCCCTGGGCAAGCCAGACAGTCGGGTCTGCACTGCCTCACATCCATCTGGCAGAACAAGATGCAGAACACAGCCTCGAGTGAGGGGGCTTTGCCCTATTTCTTTCTGCCTTGCAAAAATAAGCTTTCGTTGCTGTGAGAGAGCACAGGGGTGAAGGCACTTGCCTAGCAGGCAGCTGACCCCCGTTCCATCCCCAGCATTGTACAATGTTCCCTTAGCACTGCCTGGAGTGGCCCTCAAGCACAGAGATGGAAGGAGCTCCATGAGCCATAGAGTGTAGCCCCAGCCCTGCAATAAGTTTTTACAGCCTCCACCTGCTCCCCCTAATTTCAAAAGTAGATCACTGTAGAAAGTTAGGAAAACAAGTACAAACTGGCGCGTAGCTTTGCGGGTACAGCATTCTTCCTTTGTAACTTGCCTGTTCCTTTTAACCAAATGGTGTATTACTCCACTTCATCTTTGGCAATGTGATTTTTTCCTGGCTGCATGGTATTCTGCTGTATGGGTGTACCATAGTTCAACAACCCTCTCTTGTCGGACATTTTAGTTGTTTCCAGCATTCTGCTCTAGTTAGCAGCATCAGTGAACACACCCTCATGTCAAAATCTTTGCACACATTTTTAAAAAAGTTTCTATTTAGGTATACTGTGGTTTATAATACTGTTAATGATAGTTTCACATATACATGCTTCCAACACCACACCTATCACCAGTGTACCCACCTCCCTCCCCCAAGGTACCCATTGTCCCAATGTCCCTCCCTTTTAACGCGCCCCCCCCCCCCACACACACATACAAACTCAGTTCTGTGGATTCCATTATTCCATTTCATTGCCTTTGGCCTTTGTTGCTACCTTGCTGTGTATCTTTAAGTCCCACGTATGATCACTCTGTATCATTCCTTCTGGCTGACTACTCAGCATAAAACCCTCTGGATCCATCCGTGTTGCAGCAAATTGCAAGCTTTAGTTCTTTCTTAGAGCCACACAGTATTCCATTGTATATATCTTGATCCATTCATCTGTAGTTGAGCATTTGTGTTGTTTCTGTACCTTGGTTATTGTGCTGAGCGCTGCAACAAAGGTGCGCATATGTCCTCGTGACTTGTTTTTGTGTTCTGGGGATAGATGCCAAGAAGTGATGTCGTTGGGTCACATGGGAGCTTTATTCCTATTTTTGTTTCAATAAATCTCCATGTTCCTCTCTATAGAGGCTGGGTCAGATGACATTCCCACCGATAGGGCATGAGGGAAACCTTTCTCCCCACAACCCTTCCAACATTGGCTGTTCCAAAACTTTTTGATATTCACCATTTTCACTCATGTGAGCTGATCTCTTGGTGTTGGTTTTGGTTTTAGAGCCACACCTGGTGATGCTCAGGGTTTACTCCTGGCTCTTCACTCAGGAATTACTCCTGATGGTGCTCAAGGGACCATATAGGATGCCTGGGATAGAATGAGGGTCAACTGTGTGCAAGGCAAGTGCCCTTTCCACTGTATTATCATTCCCTAGGCATGGGCTTTGCACGAATTTTTACTCAATATCTGTGAACCTGAAACCTTCTAGTTTATTCTTGGGGGAGAGAAATAGCCAGCAAGTCATAGCCAACAAAATAACTGA